CTAGAAGGAAGAGGAAGAAAAACCAAATGATGTCGGGGTAGAAGAGAGGAATCAAAGAGAAGGTATCAAAAGGATTTCACCGGAATAGAAGACTCCAGTGACTGGTCGGAGTAGTAGACTCGGACTGCATCTCTGTTACGAAACTCTTCCATGGTCTTCAGTTTATAATATTCCCTCTAAAGTAATGAATTTGATTGATTCTGAGATCAGGGGATTTTCTTCAGAGGTCTACATCAGGTAAGAAAAAAACTACATCATTGTAAATGGTCCAATGTTTTACATGAAATCGTGGACTTTTTGGGTTCTTTGAGAGGGTTCCGAGTGGGCAAAGATGCTACTAGTCAGTTAGAGATCTCTCATTTGATGTTTGCTGATGATACGCTCGTGTTGTGTGATGCGGAGGAATCCCAGCTCAAGTATCTGAGATGTGTCTTGATCTGGTTCCAAGAATTGAACGCTTGCAGCATAATTTTCTGTGGGGGGGGCAGAGGGGAGGAGTTTAAGTTCCATTTGGTTCGATGGGAGCAAGTTTGCAGGCCTATTCGTAATGGTGGGTTGGGGCTTCGTAGATTAGTGCATGGTTGTGGAGGTTTGGAGTGGAAAGGCATTGGCTTTGGCGGAGGGTTGTTGCGAGTAGGTTTGGGGAGAGCAGAGGAGGGTGGTGCTCTCTTGAGGTGCGTGGTCTAAGGGGTGTGGGGGTCTGGAAGTGCATTCGGAAGGGTTGGTTTGACTTCTCCTTGAATGTCCGCTTTAGATTCAGGGATGGCAGGAGGATCAATTTCTGGGAAGATGTTTGGTGTGAGGATATTTCTCTTGCTCTCGCTTTTCCACGACTTTTTAGGATTGCTTTAAATAGGCAGGCCATTGTAGTTGACTGTTATCATCTTGATAGCGGGATACTGGTGTGGGATGTTCGGTTCAGGCGTCTCTTTCAGGATTGGGAGATTGAGGATGCCATTCATCTGTTAGAGTTATTGTATCGGCAGGAAGTCACGGTTGGTGAGTCTGATAGCTGGTTTTGGGCTCCCAGTGCGCAGGGTCGTTTTGATGTGCGGTCCTTCTTTAGGTATCTTTCTGTGGAGCCTGGAGGGCCCTTCCCGTGGAAGTCTGTATGGCACTCTAAGGCTTCTCTCAAAGTGGCCTTCTTTACTTGGACTTCTGTGTTGGGCAAAATTTTAACCTAGGATAATTTGAGAAGGAGTAATCAGGTGGTGGTCAATCGGTGCTACATATGTCTTAGGGACGAGGAAACAGTGGACCATCTTCTTTTGCATTGCTCCATGGCCAAGGATTGTTTGGATTTGATGCTGGGCTTGTTTGGAGTCCAATGGGTCATGCCTCATTCCGCCAGAGAGTTGGTTGAGGCTTGGAGAGAGTGTTTTGTGGGGGGCCAAGTTCGTGATGCTTGGAGGGCTACTCCTCTTTGTGCGTGGTGGTGTATTTGGCTTGAGAGGAATAAGAGATATTTTGAGGGGAATGAGAGACCTATCTCTTTTCTTAAGTTCTCTATTATTTCTACTCTTTTTTGTTGGGTCTTAGGTAGAGATTATAAATCTTTAGATGAAATTGTTGTTTTTTTGGCCTGTTTTTGTTCCAGGATGCACTCCCCTTTTGAGCGTTTTTTATAAAATTCGTACTTATCAAAAAAAAAAAAAAATTTGCCTAAAGCAGAACAATGATTTAGCCTTCGAAGGATCTCTGGTGTCAATTTAGCTTCTAAATGTATACTTGCTTTGAACTATTTTGCAGGGTAAATTGGCTCTTTGGGTTGCTTGATTTAGATACAAGTATGGTAGGAGGTTTATTTTCCTATCATGCACTTGTAGACCCTTAACCATTTGTAATAAAGAATCGGGTTCTCTCGAGATTGCTGACATTGATAAGATGGAGAGTCAGGGTCTTTTGACGGGTCCTTTGAAGCTTAGGAGGGTGGAGTGTCAAGCAGAGTTTGCTGAGATTGTTGTTATGGAGGAGATTTCATGGAGACAAAAATCTAGAGCTTTGTAGCTTAAAGAAGGTGACAATAACGCTAAATTCTTTCATAGACTTGCCAATGCTCACAGAAGGGGCAACCACATTGGGAGGATTAGGGTGGATGGGTTGTTGATTAGTAAAGAGGAGGAGATTTGTAAGAGCTTTTCTGAGTACTTTTCGACTTTGTTCACTGAGTCAGCCGATTGGCGTCCTTTACTTGATGGGCTTCATTTTGATTATATTTCAGGAGAGGAGTGCTCTGTTTTGGAAGAGCCCTTTTCAGAAGAGAAAGTTCTCTCTGCTCTGAAGAGCTGTAATAGGGATAAAGCTCTTGGACCGGATGGTTTTACTATGAGGTTCCTTTTGGAGTGTTGGGAGGTGGTCCGTGAGGAGGTGATGGGCTCTTTTGAGAAAAGTTTGAATGCAACTTTTATTGCTCTTATTCCGAAGAAGGGAGAGGCAATGGATGTTAAGAGACTTCCGCCCTATTAGTTTGGTGGGATGTTTTTACAAGTTGATTGCGAAAGTCTTGGCCTCTAAGTTGAAGAAGGTGATGGATGGTGTCATTTCTGACTCTCAGAATGCATTTGTGGGAGGTCGGCAGATCTTGGATTCAGTTCTTATTGCTAGTGAATATGTTGATTCCCGTTTGAGCAGCGGTGTTCCGGGTGTTCTTTCCAAGCTAGATATTGAAAAGGCATACGATCATGTGAGCTGGAGCTTCCTTCTCTACCTGTTAGAGAGGATGGGTTTTGGTGGGTGGTGGAGGAGATGGATTCTTTTTTGCATCTCTAGTGCTCGTTTCTCTGTCCTTGTGAATGGAGCGCCGACGAGTTTCTTCTCTAGCTCGAGGGGATTGAGACAAGGGGATCCGCTTTCCCCTTTCCTGTTCCTTTTTGTGATGAAGGCTCTTAACAGATTGCTGAAGAGGGCTGCGGAGCTGGGTTTTTTGAGAGGCTTTCGGGTGGGCAGGGATGTTGATAGTCAATTGGAGGTTTCTCATTTGATGTTTGCAGATGACACTATTGTGTTTTGTGATGCAGATGCGTCCCAGCTGAGGTATTTGAAATGCGTTCTGATTTGGTTTCAAGTTGTTTCTGGCCTTAAGGTTAATGTTGGTAAGAGTCTTCTTGTGCCTGTTGGGGATGTTCCGGAGATTGAGGTGTTTGCTCACATCCTTGGATGTTGCAATGGCTCTTTTCCCATTTCTTATTTAAGATTGCCTTTGGGTGCCCCTTCGAGATGTGTGGGGAGCTGGGATCCGGTTGTGGACAGAGTCGAGAGGAGGTTGGCGGGTTGGAAAAAGCAGTACCTGTCCAAGGGGGGTCGGGTTACCCTGATTAAGAGCACCCTTTCTAGCCTTCCTACATACTTCTTATCTCTATTTCAGATTCCTTCTTCAGTGGCTGAGAGAATTGAAAGATTGCAGTGCAACTTTCTTTTTTTTTTTTTGGGGGGGGGGGGGGGGGGGGGAGGGGTGGGGAAGGAGAAGAGTTCAAGTTTTACTTGGTTCGGTGGGATCAAGTGTGCCGTCCAATTCGGTTTGGAGGCTAAGGGTTTCGGAGGTTGTTGCCTTTTAATAAGGCTCTCCTTGGTAAATGGCTCTGGAGGTTTGGGATCGAGAGGCATTGGTTATGGAGGAAAGTTATTGCTAGCAAATTTGGGGAAAGTCGTGGTGGGTGGTGCTCTCTGGTGATACGTAGTCCAAGGGGGGTGGGAGTTTGGCATTTCATTCGGGGGTTGGGATGATTACTACAAGCATGTTCGTTCTCGTATTAAAAGATGGAAGGAGGATCAGTTTTTGGAAGGATCTCTGGTGTGGGGAACTCCCTCTTGCTCTCACGTTCCCACGGCTCTATAGGATTGCTTCTCATCGACAAGCCATGGTTGTTGACTGTTATCATCTTGATAACGGGAGACTGTCTTGGGATGTTCAGTTCATGAGGCATTTTCAGGATTGGGATCGAGGATGTTTCTCGTTTTCTAGAGCTATTGTATAGCCAGGTGATTTCTTTTGGGGAATCGGATTGGTGGTTCTGGATTTCTAACTCGCATGGTCGTTTTGAGGTTAGGTCCTTTTTCAGATGCCTTTCGGTTGGCCATGGAGATCCCTTCCCTTGGAAGTCTATTTGGCGGTCCAAGGCTCCCCGCAAGGTTGCCTTTTTTGCTTGGACCTCTGTTCTGGGTAAAATTTTAACCCAAGATAATCTGAGGAGGAGGAATCAGGTGGTGGTCAATCACTGTTACATGTGTTTGTGTAATGAGGAGTCTGTTGATCACCTCCTTTTACATTGCAGCATGGCCAGAGATTGTTGGGATTTGATGCTTCGATTATTTAGGGTCCATTGGGCCATGCCTTATTCCTCTAGAGGGTTGATTGAGGCTTGGAGAGGAGTCTCTATTGGGGCTGGCATTAGGGACGCTTGGAGGGCTACGCCGCTTTGTATCTGGTGGTGTATTTGGCTTGAGCGAAATAGGAGATATTTTGACGGAAAAAAGAAGCCTGTTTCTATGCTTAAGTTCTCTGTTATTTCTACTCTTTTTTGTTGGATTTCAGGGAGAGATTATAGATCTATGGAGGAAATTATTGTTTTCTTGGCCTCTCTGAAGGTCTAAGGCGCCCTTTGGCCCTTTTGTTTCCTTTTGTTTCTTTGGGCTTCGCTCCCCTTTTAAACGTTTTTAATAAAATCTTACTTATCAAAAAAAAAAAAAAACCATTTGTAATAAGCAGGGCTTAATTTAGAAAACCAGAGTACTAATGACTAATATTCATTCTGATTGATCCAAATTTAAAATCTTTCCGTGACATCCTGAGCAGCATACAGTATGACAGAATTTCTAAGCAAATGATCACATCATCACCTAAATACTCATCTGTCATTCTTTCTGTTTTGTAAATGACAAAAACAATAAATAAAAATAAAGAAATATATAGATTGCTATTGCCCATTTTTCAAAACTAAAGTCCCTCACCCCAAGGAAAAAAAAAAATCAAACAAGAAGCCAAACATTCTAATGTAACCAACCTTTGCTCTTCCTACGCTGAAAATCCACCAGTTTCCCTTGCTCAGCCATTGCAGCCTCACGAGCCTGCTTACAGAAAAACAAATCAGAAACCTTCAAGTGGTAAATCACCATAATAGTAATATATTTTTGCACATCTTTTTTTTTCCGCCTAAATTTGTGCACATCTTTTTATAAAGGAGAATAAAAACATATTGGTTAAATAATACAGAAAATTACAAAATAAATGAAGAGAGAAAGAGAGAGAGAAAAGACGAATAAGAAGAAAAGAAAGGGAGAATGATAAACAAGTTGGCAACAAGCACATCAGCAACCTATACATCCAATATAATACAAAATAAATGTCAAAATTCATATGATTAAAGTGCTTTAGCCACTCCAATGGCAAAAAAATCTTCTCTTTGTGCCATCTGTAAGAGACAAATTATATAAAACAAATAAAAGAATCCAATGTTTATTCAATGAAGTCTGAATTTGAGAGATATCAAACTTTATACATACAACAAAATCATAAGCAAGCCATACCAAAAACACTCTATGATGCATCTTCATATTTCAAGGCATCAACTGATAATTCTAACAGAAACAGAACACCAATAGACCATTTTGATACACTTATTATTAAATAAATCTGGACCTGGATTTGATCCAGATTTATTCACCATACAAAATCTTTCAACAGCCATATATGAAGACAAGCAAACCCCAAAACATCTTCATATTTCAAGGCATCAACAGAAAATTCTAACAGAAACAGAACACCAATAGACCATTTTGATACACTTATTATTAAATAAATCTGGACCTGGATTTGATCCAGATTTATTCACAATACAAAATCTTTCAACAGCCATTTATGAAGACAAGCAAACCCAAAATACATCTTCGGATACAAATTTTTTTTTTTTTTTTTTGATAAATAAAAAATAAATACATAAAAATTAACAGAGACCATATTTCAAAAAAAATTAACAGAGACATAAAGAATCACTATAAACATCCTTCCCAAACTTTCAGAAGTTCATTTTCTACATTCTTATTTAGGAGAGTGGAGCGCTTATGCATTTGGTGTTGTTTATGGAAGGAGCGAAATAGAAGATCCTTTGATTGTGAGGAATCTTCTACTGGGGCTTTAAAATCCCTTATTCTTTGCTCTCTTTTTTGATGGGTTAAGGGAGAAATTGTAAATCTATAGAGGAAATAGTTGATATTTTGGGTTATTTGGGTCCTTAAGGCCCCTCTTGGCTTTGTCCTTTGTGTAACTTTCAGGATGCAGTCCCCTTTTGAAGGCTTTCTAATACAATTTTACTTATCAAATATATATATATATATATATATATACACACACATTTCAATTTTAAAAAAATCAGAGATAATTTTCTAAGTAAGAAAAGCAATTTAAGTTAAAACAAAACAACAAAACATGAGTCCACATGCTCTAAGTATGCAGAATATTTTTGAGAATTTCAGAAAATGCGAGAATTATTCATAATGTTCAGAATATTTGAAAATAATTCATTATAGTATTGTAATGTTCAGGATAGATTCATGTTCCATCTGATTAAAATAATGAGGCTTGATACGGAATATTAAACCAATAAGGAAACCCCAAACAGTAAGGGAGTCTAAGTGATAACATAAGCTACAACGAGATAAGGATAACTACAGCTCCTCCTAATATCTCTCCTAAAATGTCCTAATGATACTATTTACATGCACCCTGCTAGTTTCATGCATGGCAAAGAACAATGACAAAATTACAAGGCACAAAAAAGCCAGTATATAAAAGTTTATGCAATTGACGACAATGTTAAAAAACAACAATTTTTCACAGTTATTGGGGAAAAGTATTAGGAAGCTGAAACATGCGGCCCCAAATGCACACATATTAATTAGTGCTCTACCTTATACTCATCAATAGCATCTTGAGCAAATGCAATGTCTATGTCCTTCTCCCTAAAACAACACATCAACAACCATTATAAGCATTTAAACCATCACAGTAACTAAATAATCAAAAATAAACAAACACCATAAAATGATAAATATTGCAACGATCAGATTGTATGCCAAGAAAAAGAAAGCACAAGCTAGTACTATAACCATTGAAGCATTATTTTACCATGTATAATATTCATGAAACCTATTATTTCAACAGAAATACATTACATAAGGCAGCGAGAACAACAAATTGCCAAAATCATCAACGTAACACATTAGGAAGTAGATGATAACAGATTGTCAAAATCATCAACGTAAAACGTAACATCTGTCAACTATACCAAGTTGCTTCAGCATAAGACAGTCCGTGCCACTTGACTAAATACTCTGGCACCACATCACCTGAACAATCTTTACTGACCCTATCTGCAATTATTCTCTCCACCTGAGGATGCAGTCATTGAACCAATTACAAATAACTTCAAAATCAAAATAGAGGTTGTAAAAGAAAAAATTCCAAGTTCAATGGCAGAACCTGACTGTTTTGCTTGATGAGATCCAAGTCCATTTCTTTGCTCACATCATTGACCTCAATCTAGATGGAAAAATATACGCACACATTAACTTAATAATGCCATTTCATACTAGGAACACAAGAAGTAATCCATAATATACGCACACATGAACTTAATAATTCCATTTCATACTAGGAACGTAAGAAGTAATCCATCATATTGATGCAAGACATCAATGGACAAGAAGTTGACAAGGTATGAAAATTTGAACGGCAAAGCATAACAATGCAACTCCTTCATCTGCAAATGCTGGATATTTTCAAAGCTAGGGAACGATTATACAAAAGGGCCTTATTAAGAAGAAGCATTTTGCTTGGGTATGTAAGGATAATAGATCAACTTTCGAAATATTATATGGAAAATTAAGTCATGAACAACATGTGGAGACAAGTTCAGCTGAGTCACCATGCCAAGGAAATGGCATCATCAACTCTTGATTGAATATTGAAAATAGATTCAAACGTGCAACTCAACAACAATTCTTTATTGGACTACCAGTGGTGAGCAATGAAGCACAGATACTTCTATAAGGGGAAATGACTCTTATCCTATTTGTAACGGATACCAATATACTCACTGGATGTTTGCGAAAACATGCCTAATACTTCCTAAATGCGTCCATAACTAAAAAGTAACTATTTATTTCGAAAATGTATCCAACACTTCTTAGATATTCCAGCCACATATTTAAAACTTCAAGAGACATGTCTAACAGGTCTTGAATATTAATATATAAGTTTTCAAGATAGTATAATGGTTACAAAAATGTTTCCAAATGCTTAGAATATCTTCAAAAAGAAGAATTTAGATACAATGATAATATATCTATGTCTAAATTTATCAAAAGTTTATGGCTACAATGTAACTGTCAGCTTGTTCATTATAATTTTCTTTTCTTTTTTTTATAAGTAAAATGTATAAAAAGCGCTCAAAAGGGGAGCGTGTCCCAAGGGAACTACACAAGGCCAAAAAGGCCTCTAAACTTTCAAGGAGTCCACAAAATCTACAATCTCCTCTAAATATCTATAATTTCTCCCTATAACCCAACATAAAAGAGTAGAAATAATAGAGAACTTAAGCATGGAGATAGGAGTCTCCTTTCCTTCAAAGGATCTCTTGTTTCTTTCGAGCCAAAGACACCACCAGACACACAATGGCGTAACCCTCCAAACATCCAGGACTTGGGGCCCCCCCACTATGCAACCCCTCCAAGCCTCAATCAACCCTCTAGAGGACCTTGGCATAACCCACTGAACAATTATAACATATAATAAAACATATAATGACACAATTATCACTTCAATTTTATACAAGACATTTTTTAATCTTTAAACATGTTGACATTTATAAAATACATACACATAATAAAACATATAGTGACACAATTATCACATCAATTTTATACAAGACATTTTTTAATTTTTAAACATGTTGACATTTATAAAATACATACACATCTTCAATTTTATACGGAGACATATATATTTTAATTTTTATATATATCAACATTAACAAATAAAATATATACACGTGTATTATTGTGTCCTTTGTCATATTTGTATCCTTCTTTTTGTTAAAAAATTCATATTGTCATGTCAGTGTTGTGTGGTGTCCTTACCCCATACCTGCTTCATGCTTCATACATGGCTAGATTTGTTGGCCCTTCCTAACCTAAGCATTTCACATTATCAAATGATAATTGAAAACCTGGTGTCTCATGGCTTTGTTGTTTAACTGACTGCCTTCATTAGCCGTGATCTATTGAAATTGTTGGAAAATATTATTATAGGAACCCTTAAATTACTCCTTGATAGAATATTTGATATGAGAATATCATAGGAGAGATTTTAGCCTATGATAGAATATTTGATTGGAGTGATTTATGGTATTAATTTTAGGAATCCTCCATCAATGTATTTTCCATATTTATCACCTGTATTCTTTTACCTATAAATAGATGTGCTGATTGGAGACAATATTAAGAGAGAATGGAATAAAAGAGATGTAGCCCTTTGGGGGCTTTGTGTGTCGTGGATGAAGGCCCTAGTAGTTGAACCACGTCATATTCTTGTGTTCTTCATGTTTAATTTCTCTCTTCAATTTTTTATATCTTTCAATATGGTATCAAAGCAGGTTTATCATACCCTACTATATACTCTACTCGTCTCGGATCTACGGATCAACTCGTCTCAGATCTTTGCAACTCGCCTCCGACTCTCGACAACTTCGTATTTAGTTTCAAGTTGGACACTTGAGTTAAATCTCTGTATACAACTTGAGGGGGGGTGTTGGAGAATAATTATAGGAGTGATTTAAGTGTTGACTGAATGTTAAAGTTGCTATACTTAAGTAACAAGTTGTTACCGTATTTGTATTTGACTTTCTGTGTAATTCCTTTATCATAAATGACTTGCAGAGCAAGAAATTTCTATTCTCTAGCTACAAGTCTTCCCCAATTCACCTATAAATAAAGGTGGTTATTGTAAACAAAATTAAAAGAGTATAATAAAGATATGTAGCCCTAGTGGCTGAACCACATTATATTCTAGTGTTCTTCATGTTTTAGTTGCTCTCTTCAACTTTTATTTCTTTCAACATGGTATCAGAGCAGGTTTATCATACCCTACTCTATACTCACTCGTCTCGGACCTCCGAATCAACTCGTCTTGAATCTTCGGATCAACTCATCTTGGATCTTCGGATCAACTCGTGTCAGATTTACTCGTTTCAGACTCTCACAACTTCATATTTAGTTTCAAGTAGGACACTTGAGTTAAAATCTCCGTGTACCAACTTGAGGGGGGGTGTTGGAAAATATTATTATAAGAACCCTTAAATTACTTCTTGATAGAATATTTGATATGAGAATATCATAGAAGAGATTTTAGCCTATGATAGAATATTTGATTGGAGTGATTTATGATATTAATTTTAGGAATCCTCCATCAATGTATTTTCCATATTTATCACTTATATTCTTTTACCTATAAATAGATGTGCTGATTGTAGACAATATTAAGAGAGAATGGAATAAAAGATATGTAGCCCTTTGGGCTTTGTGTGTCGTGGATGTAAGCCCTAGTCGCTGAACCACGTTATATTCTTGTGTTCTTCGTTTTTAATTTCTCTCTTCAACTTTTTATATCTTTCAACATAAATCAATCAACACTAAATTGGGACATAATCAAATAATTGAGTAAAAAAAAGCTTATCAGAGAGTAAATTGAAGCTATTAACCCCTCCCCCTCTAGGTCCTTTGTTTCCATAAATCCTATTCTTCTCATGCAAATTCAGTTCTCAAAAAGCAATTTTCAAGGTTACAAAGCAGTCTACAAGGCAATTGGCTTTTGGTAATTTTAAAAATGTTCATGCATATTTAGATTGTTGAACAGAAGTTTGTAGCTCTTGTCAAGATTTGCATTATTTAAACCATTCTTCATTAAAGAAAAAAATAATAAAATTTTCGTCTCTCCGCCAGTCATGGGGGGACTTGCGACTTAACCCAAAGCCACCAAGACAAATGCTTAACCAGGGTTGAGTTTAAATGTACAATTTTTATCACCCCCTCACATCCCCACCACTCCGTTCTCGTCCTTTTACAGTTGTACTCAAACTAACAACTTTGGACCAATCATAGTTGCAGTTTAGCAATTAAATTGATAGCTTATGGAGAAATTTGCAAAAATCTTAAGTAAACAAATATTGGAGGAATTCACCAGAGAGCTAAATGCCCCACATGGCTGTGGTATTTGGATATCCATATATGCAGTCACGCATACCTACATGCATTTATATATTCATCCATGTAAAGACACACATATATATAGCGCCATGTCAACCACCATCTACTCTAAAAACTTAATAGTAGATGGTGCTTAACATAACATGCTCATTTTATACTTAATTAGGTAAAATAATTTTTTGTCTGCAATTTCAACTGGCATTTACAGATGTTTCCATATAATTACGTCGTACACAAAAACATGCCCTGTTTCTCATTAATAATATGGTTCACCTCGACTCCGTTTTTCTTTCTTTTGTCAAGTTTTAACTCCCATTTAGTGGAAATAATCTGGCTTCACAATGAAACCAATAATCTGGCTTCACTAATTCTCTTTTTTGTTTTTATATACTTGTAGAAAAGCACCAGCGATTGAAACCTATGAATCGATGGTAAAATTCGCACAAAAAGAAGTTAGCGGATTCAGGTTTGACCTTAATCGTGTCAACTTAATATTGTCATGTTCGTGTTTTGAAGTTCAGCTCGTTAACCCGATTAGACCTATTTAATTAATACAATTAAATCGAAATCTGTTTTAACGCCAAAAAAAAAAAAAAATCTGGTAAGTAAGAATTCATTAAAGGCGCTCAAGAGGGGAGAGCTGCCAAAAGATTGCAAAGGTCACCCATAGCAATACTAAAAAACTATAATTTTAAACTATCCACAAAATCCAGAAGGTCCATAGATATACAATTCCACAAATTTACCCAAAGAGACCAAATAGGATATTCCTCCCCGTCGAAGGATCTCCTATTTCTCTCGCGCCACAAACCCCACCAAATACAAAGGGGAGTGGCCGTCCAAGCATTTCTGACTTGGCTCTCCACTATACACCCTTTCCAAGCCTCTAACATGTCCACTGTGGATTCCGGAAAAACCCAAGACAAACCAAAATCAACCAAGAACATAGCCCATACATCCCTCGCCACAAGGTAGTAATGCAGAAGGTGGTTCACAGACTCTCCCGACTTCTTACAAATGCAACATCAGTTCACCAAGGGCAACAGTCCAAGACAAAGGGGATTTCGTCCTCCAAATAGCTTTCCAAGGGAAACAAGGGTAAGGGATAGTAGAATAGTCTAACCTCAAACACCCCTCTCAAAGACCTCTCCCACACCATCTCATCCATACCCGCGGCCTCCACCACCTGGATATAGATCAAGGCTAGGAAATCTGTAACCTCCATAAGCTCCCAATCATGAAGCTCCTGCAAAACTGCACATCCCAAGTCACCCATTATCAAGCCGACAGCAATCACAGCATGTTTGTTCACAAAAATCCTCAATGGACGAGGAAACCTATACAAGCCAAAGTAAACTCCCCCACACCATCGGTCCTCCCAAAATCTGACATCCATTTTTGTAACTGTATTGTCCCAATTATCCTCATTTTCATGAATCTAGTCATCCATTATGTCATTATGGCATTTTGTCATTTTCTTCATTATATTTCTCTTTTTATACTTAAGTTACTAAACAGGTTACATGACTCATTTAATTTAAATTGGTTATTAAATGGGTCGGGCGTGGGACAGCAGGGCCATTCTGTTTTGGGAGGACTCGAGGTGTGGTGATCATCTGTTGGCCTATCCTTTTCCCAGGCTTTTCACGATGGCCATTGATAGACACACCTTAGTTGCCAACTGTTATCGGTTTGATAGCGGGAGGATTACTTGGCATGTGCAGTTTCAGCAGCATTTTCAAGACTAGGAATTGGACAACATTTCTGGTTTTCTAGATCTCTTGTATAGACAGGAGCTGGATAGTAGAGGCCCAGACTCCCTTATTTTGGTGCCCTCTACTCGGGAGATTTGAGGTCCGTTCCTCGTTGGCTTTCTGACTTCTCAGGTGCTGATTTTCCTTCTTTTTTTTTTTGATAAGTTTTAGGTGCTGATTTTCCTTGGAAGACGGTTTGGCAAAGGCACCTCTTAAACTAACCTTCTTTGATTGGACTGCAGTTTGGGACAAGATTTTGACACTTGACAAGTTACTGTCAATTGGCATTGCATGTGCAAGAGGGATGGAGAGTCAATGGATCACCTCCTCTTGCTTTGCCCGGTGGCTCACGACTGTTGGAGTCTTATTTTTGGCTTGTTTGGCGCCCAGTCGGTCATGCATCAGTCTTCAAGGGGATTGATTGACGCTTGGAGAGATGTTTCATGGGAGCCCACGCCTGTGATTTTTGGAGGGTGGCACCCTTTTGCGTTTGGAAGGAGCGGAATAGATCTTTTCAACGGGGTGGGGCTTTGAAATTTCTTATTATTAGCTCTCTTTATAGTTGGGTGATGGGGAGAAATTGTATATCTATAGACGAGATTGTGATTTTTTTGGTTCCTTGGATCCACAGGATCTCAAAACAAAAAATCAAAAGAGTCGGGTCATCGTTAGTTACACGAACCATTTATTAAAAGGGTAAATGGATCATGTTTGTGTCGAGAGTTCCTAACACGATTATTAAACAAATCGTATCGGGTTGACTTATATAACAAAATACTATTAAGTCGACATGACACAAATATGACCCGCCAACATGAATTACCATCCCTACCTATGATGCAGGCATAGTATACAAGAGCCACAAGCATAGACTCCTATAAAAAAACAAGTCAGTCAGAAAAATAACAAAACAAAATAGCATCCATAACCAGAAAGTGACCAAAATCCTATCCCTGATCCACCAATTCCGCACGCCAATGTTATGTTTTAGAAAGAAAAAAAAAATGAAAAAGGAATTAAAAAACAGAGATACTATATCAACAAGTACATGTGAACATATAAGAGAAATCCATAATTGATAAATCATCTTAGTAAGTCTTTTTCTTTTTTATTCATAAAATTGAGAATGTCAAGGATTTGTTTTTAAATAGATAATGGCAGATGTTACCTCCTCACGGGAGACAGCCTTCCGATACTTCACATCCTCCATCACCTTTTTCGTGTAATTTATAACCTTCTTAAAACCACTAAGCTGCAATTCCACCAAGACAACAAAATTCAACAAACAGACATAAAGGGAGAAGAAACAAATAGTTTCTACTAAGAGCAATGCTTTATACAACATTACCAATGACCACTAGTTACACTACGATTACATTTGCATACAAGTAAAAGGATTCAAACCGTTACATTTTGTAGCTCAGAAAATGATTTCCATTGACAATGCAAATGTGACTGGCCTTTCCATTTTATAAAAAATTCCATCTCATTCCAATCTGGTTCAGAGTCAAATAAGTGGCTTAACAACACAGGCTCTGTTAATTTGTTGTTCCTTAAAGCTTCTTCAGCCATGCCCTTTGGCTGATGCCACAACACCTTTTCAATTGAGTCACCGTCTTCCTCTTCAATCTCCTCCTTTTGGAAAAATAAAAAATAATTTATCAATAAAATTGTATGCTGATGAACTGAAAATCTACAATCTACAAGATAGTTGCAAAGAAATTCCACAAGATAAAATTTCACTACAAGATACATAGAATTTGAGTGAAAGTATTTTGAGAGCCCAAAGACAAACAGAAGACATAAAACAAGAAGAAGAAGCCTTTTTTTCCAACTACTTGGGGTCGGCTACATGAATCCTATGTTTCCATTCCGCTCTATCTATGGCCCAGTCAAACCAAGATGACATACAAAGATAAAATAAAATAAAAAAAGAGGATAATCTCATTCATTTACTTTAGAAATTGAAGAAATATTTTGAAGTTATAAAACACATTGCTCTACAGAAAGGAGGATGGTTACGGAGATTAAAAGTCCCCGCCCTAAACATTTACAATTAGCATATAAACATTCTCCACCTCCTACAGGAAGAAACCCATAGAGACCCCGCTAACATCATACATCAGATTGGACAAGGCGAGATAACTTTAAATGATGGAACACAGATCCACAACAGAAGCACAGATGCTGAGATTTGAACCATCCAGTCCTGATTATTTGTGGTCAACATACAAATCAGATTAAACTTTAAAACAGCTTGGGCCATATATTTCATAGAAAGAGTTAGGTCCTACACAAACCACCCACATCATCCTTAAAATTCGCATACCTAGCTTGACCACCAGCACCACCTCAAAAGTACCAATAATAAAATAAAAAAATAAGACTTGTACAAATTCAGCCCCTACATTGTCCAAGAGATCATAGGATCCCATCAGATAGAAGATGTCAAGATGCCGAAGCATTCATATGAGTGGAGAAGGTCTTTAATTACCTTCGCAGGTATCATCACTTCCAGTCATTCCTAAGGGGCATTTTTCCCTGTTCCTTGTGCAAAATTCTTATGTTCATAGAAACCGTTTGGAGCAAATTAAATGGGACTTCCACTCATCACATTCTGGCAAAGCCCATAATTACCACTTGGTATGGGGCATGTTGATCATAAATGAAGGGTGGCTACAGTTTAGGTAATGTGGTTCATAAAAGTAAATCCCCCATCAATAAGCCAACTAGGATGTTTCTGAGAAAGCAAAACTATGGTGTGGCACTCATCCAAGCCTTTCAATGGGGCACATAAAAACAAATTTAGATGTCTGTTTAATCAAGCATTGTCAACTCAAAACTTGGGATACTTACTAGTGCAGTCATTGGCTTTTGCTACCATCTTTAACTGACAGCTAAGCTGTATAGCAAAGATTTAATGATGGGTCATGATTTGCTACCCATCACAATGTGAGAATGCCTTCTAACATGACCCTAAGGTGATTCAGAGAAAAATGCAACAAATATATATCACTTCTTTTTCTTATTTTTTGACAATATTGTATTAGAAGGCATTCAAAAGGAGAACGCATCCCAAGAAAATAAATATATATCACTTCTAGATATTAGTATTTCATTTTTAAGAAATCAAAAAGCTTTATCTAACTCCTAACCACCATGATCAAATATTTTCCAATTCAACCGAAACAGTTTAAGAATAAGACTGTTAACAGAAGGTATTCCACAAGCACTAACAACACACTTCAAATCATCTACTAGCCCCAATAAAATAAACATAAAAAAATAAATAAGATAAACAAGTTTTACAATGTCAACTTCAGCCGGTTTAAGTATTCAAAACATCACTATTTTACTTTCAAATAAATAAATAAAAATCACCATTTACATGATATTTTGAAAATATAAGAGTATATAGGTTTCATGATATTTTGAATACTTAAAGCAAACTGGGATGTTGTGGTCCAAAAAAAATTGAACCGTTCTACTCTTGCGAGTTGTGGACCCGGTTTGGTACTCTCTTGTAGCCCAATATATAAGGGCGATTAAGGTTTGGAGTGGGATAACAAGAAAACACTGGAAACTGCAGGAAGAGAGCGAGAGGGTTTGGGGGCTGAAACTTGTAACCTCCTGATTTTCGAATAGTGAAATCTTTCACCGGATCTTCACCGTGGACGTCAGCTTTGCCAAAACACGTAAATATTTTTGTTGATTTGTTCTTTGTGAGTGGTGTGTTTACTTTTCTATTGTGATTCTTGATTTGTTCTTGGTTCGTAGTGTTTGTCATAACACAACTCTAGGCAACCATCGTACCTCAATGAATTACAAATATCATTTTCTGTTTTTTACCTCTTAGTCTCACCATAAAAAGATTATGGCATTTTCAATACAGGAAATTACTAGTATGTCTAAAAAACAATAATTAAATTAAAAGATCTCAAAAAATATAGTAGTTGAAGAAAGTTTTACACACAAAACATTTTTTTTGTTATAAGTAAAGTTTCATTAAAGGCGCTCAACAGGGGAGCTATCCCAAAAGAGTTTCACACGAAACTTCTCAAAATATAGAATATTTCATGTCAGAAAAAAAGCCTATCACAAATAGTCCATTTTACAATTTGAAATTTTCACCTTGCTAGTCGGTTATGTAACACCTACGGTATTTTCTCAAAGGATTCAGACCATGTGAACTAATGCTTTAAGACAAAAAATGTCAACATAAAGTTTTAAAAAAAAATTTACAAGAACTAGAAAAAGAAACCAGGAACGTGAGTCATATGAATAAAAATACCACACCTTTTGGCTCCTTTTTTTCTTGCCTTCATCTAATTCTTCACTTTCTTCGCTTTCGGCATAAGATACTTTTCGCACTGACCGACTTGATGTTCGGGGTTCGCTGAGCTTTCTAGAGATCTTTGAAGATGTGGACCGACCACCATTGTTTTTGCGGAGATATGCACCTCTTCTTGTCAAACTTCTGAAATCCTCATCACTTTCATTCTCTGTGTCCTTTGCAGAGGAGCCTTCCTCTTCAAATGATGTTCTACCCCTTTTACGCCGACTAGATGATGTATATGATTTAAGTTCCCTGGTAGACTTTATACTACGTCCACCCTTACCTCGTTGCCTACCCCTTGATTTCCTATAATAAGTATCATCTTCATCTGAGATATCCAGATCATCATCATCATCATCACCGTTAACATCTTCATCAGAATCTTCAGCATCCCAGTCTTCATTCTGGTACTACAAGAATAATGCAGCTTCTTAGTTAGCTGAAGTTCAAGTTGTGCCACATAATCTAACGCAAATCCATGATAGTAATAGTGATAGAACAAAACACTTCGTCAGAATCCAAAGTTGCATAGTTAACCAAAATACATAATATCCTCACAGCTTCACGGAAATTATATTCTATAATAATATAAAACAATGAAAAAGATAAATAAATAAAAAGTGTAGCTAGGTAAAATTCAGACAGGCATTCAAAAAATACACTTCACATAACAGACAAAGAATTTTAAACAAAGAACATGTAGACCTTAATCTTTTCTTCTTTTTTTTAAATTGCAATGAAATAATAAAACAGATGTGTCACAATCGATAACAAAAAGAAAGACTTTCTGCTGTGAATTTTTCCCAACGCAGTCCATCTTCATAGGATTTTCTAAGCAAGTAAATTACCAAACATTGGTTCTCAACTATGAGTAAATTGTTGTCTAACCACAAGCTTGTACGTTTCAAGTGCAGTTCAATCAGCTAACTTTTTGACTGCTTCTATACACATAACATTGATGACGCCTTCTCCACGAATAGCCTTCATATTGTACCACAATTAAAGCATGAGCTCTTCTAGCTATGTTATGCATATATTTCCTAAAATATAGTACACTGGGTCGTGCACTCACGCTGGTCCATTTTAAGTCAAGGAATCATGCACACAAGCCACTTAAACAAGGCCAATTTACCTAAGCACTTCTTCGACCCCATACTGCCAAGGGAGACTAAAGGAACTGCTGACTTCAAAGCTATCTGTAACAGAGGTCTTATCAAGCCAGAGTGAACCTAAAGCACAACTATATGGCGTCTCTAAAATTTCCCAAATGCCAGTTACGCTGCCAGCCATCATACATAAAAGAACATTTGTCCACCATCTGGAAAGCTCTCTGCCAACCTTCCTCAACCAGCCAAAGTTCAAATGGAACAAAGCATACCAAAAAGTTGAAGTTTCAAGGTTATGAGAGAAAGACAATACCATCAATCTCTGATGAAGAAACATTAATCCATCTAAACCATATATAATTAAAGTTTATGAGCATCTCTAAAATTTATTGCTACTTACTGTCAAAGGGGATATGGCCATAGGATCTAAGAATGTAGCAACACACGTAAGTAGCACAAGGCTCAATAATAGCCTGCGGAGTGGTCATCTCCAAGAAATCAACCAGCTGTGTTGGTCATGATGCATGCATAATTGCTTATTCCATACCATACCCAAGTATCGCAAATCAAAGTTGATACTTTACACATTTAAAAGAGCTCGTGCAACATATACAGCCAGTGTACACTATGAAGCACGGTCCCATGATCACCTACACTTGAAAAGTGCAGCTGCAACAAAGAAGTAATATGTTGGGTGAGGTAAGCAAGTAGTAGAAGGATCTCAAGTCAGGACTGATTATGGCAGCTACACGCAACTGTCTGACATCATCCTCACCTTAATCCCATATTAACGGAATCAGCCACCGAAATGGATTCTCTTTTTCCCTCTTTCCTATTACAAGTCATCTCTACTACAAATATTAACTTTTAAAATCATTCCTACTAGTTTCATCCCATGTAAATTTCAGCATCTCTGCCTTCCATGCAAATAAGCCTTCCTCTTCTTACCGGAGCATCTATAGATCTTCTTTGTATATGTTCATATCTCCCAAGTCTACTTTCTCTTATTTTAATATTAATAGGAACCACTACAAATTTCTCTCCTGCATTTTGGTCAGTGGCTATTTCTTCTGGTCACTCCTATCATCTATCTTAACATCCTTTATTTCTGCCACATAAAATTCATTTTTCTTAAAGCCCAACACTATGCACCATATAAGATAGTTATAACGAACCTTCTCAAGAATTGTTTATATAGTTCAAGAAGGAGCTGCAGCGCACCTCCGCAGGGCCCACATTTTGGGTTGGGCTGGCAATAAGCTACGTCTAGATGTCTTCTAAGAACGCTGAACCCCCCCATTACACTGACCCAAGGCTCACCGAACGACTCCAGAGACAGAAAAGGTGGCCTAATAATTATTCTATGAAATTCTTCTTTTAATTTATTTTTGACTCTTTTATCATATAAAAGACCACTAGCATGTCTCTATTTTGTCCACCAGCTCCAATTCTACTAATTATATCCCCATCTAACTAGTTATCTTTCTGTACTATTGGTCCTAAATATCGAAAAATGGTTCCTTTTGATAATCCATTGGTTTTGAAGTGTGATCATTATATTATCAATCTTCGACTTTTTACTAAATTTACATTCCATATATTGACTTTTAGTCCTATAAAGTTTTTAAACTTTCAATTCTAATACATTTTCCCCCTCTTTAATTTTATTGCTAAATTTTCTTTAGATGTCTAACAAAATATCCTAAGAAGCACGGACACTTCTACAAATATGCCGTGTCCATGTCGGATACCGACAATCTATGGACACTCTTGGACACATGTTTTGACACTTCATGGCCGTGTCTGTAATTTTAAATTAATAATTATTATTTCGGACACTTCACCGAAACATTTTGAACACTTGGTGAACACATTCAAGACACTCAACCACCACATCCAACACTCTTCGTCTTATATAAAACAAACACATGACAGTCCTATAAATAACATTATGAATGTACATCAAAATGCAATATGTCCAACCTCTTTTTCTTTAAAAATTTGACATAAAAAAATATGATGCAATTTGTAATAAACAAAATAATTATGATGGCATGATAAAAGAGTAATATCGTATATAATATAATATTTTTTATTTAATATTCCAATAGCTTCATCTTGTAACCTTAGTATAGAAGTTCTATAATTGAGTCAATAAATATATAAACAGAATTTTATTTGTATATTAGCAGTGTCCGTGTCCTACTTTTTTAGAATTTGATGTGTCAAAATATCCATGTTGCATTTGTGCTTCCTAGACTATACCATCGGCAAACAACATGCACCATAGAATGTCCCCTTTTAAGTCATTTGTAATTTCACCCAAATTTGTTGTGAATATATATGCTTGATTCTGACCCTCTGGTATAATATTTTTTATTTAATATTCGAATAGTTTCATCTTGTAACCTTAGTATAGAAGTTCTATAATTGAGTAAATAGATATATAAATAAAATTTTATATTTATATTAGCAGTGTCCATGTCCTAGTTTTTTTAGAATTTGATGTGTCAAAGTATCCATGTCACATTCGTGCTTCTTAGACTATACCATTGGCAAACAACATGCACCATAAAATGTCCCCTTTCAAGTCATTTGTAATTTCATCCAAATTTGTTGTGAATATATACACTTGATTCTGACCCTCAGTGCATTCCCACATTTATAGGAGAATCACTACAAGCAAAGAAACACTATAAATTCCAGTGTTGCAGGACCAATAAGCAATATGATATTTTCTTTTCTTTATAGAATATCCTAATTGAAATTCCTATAAAATAAGTCAAGACCTAGGAGAGAAAAGTATATGTACTCTCATTGTTGGCACTAAGAAATAATACCTTAAAATACATATTTTTCAATTGTTAGCGGGTAAAAATTAATACCTTAAACCCCATCCCTCCCTATATGAAATTATACAAGCACTTTTTCATTGAAGGCTTTGGCAAGACGTGTGTATTTGAAGGGTTGCTGATGGGCACAAAAAGGAAAATATCAGAACTTGGGGAGGGCAAGGCACGCCCTCCCAAAGAAAAGAAAGAAAAACATACATAGATGGTGGATAAAATGCTTTATTTGAAAATTTGTTGGTTTGAACTGTTTAGTTTTTCCACATCAATATTCTTTAGCTTGATATTGATTTTGTCCATGCCACTCCAAAAATCATAATTCCAACTCTTCAATTAAACCAGATCCGGGTATAATCTATTCATGGTTACCATAGAAGTTATTTATAAAAAAACATAAACTTCATTTGAGGCACTTTCAGGCTTCTATGTCCACACTAAACCACTCTCCAATTTTTTTAGAAGGAATATCACATAAAATTCAGGAGCATTGCTAGAGCTTCAAAAATGGTGGTCCATATATAAACTGGAATGTATGTTTCCCTCTAAAATCAAACGAGTCTAAACATTTCAAATGACCACCTTAAATTATTTGTGATTCAATTCCTATTCCAAACCAATGAAAAACAGGTCCTGATTTTGTATTTCATTTCCGTTTCTCTTTTGTTGTCCATCTCTGCTTTATTTCTGTGAGTTGGTTCAAAGCCTTCGGGCATCAGTTCAGCGAGGGTATACCCTCCTTTGTGCCATTGTACTTTATGTTTTCTATCAATAAAATTTTAACTTTACCCAGGGAAAAAAAAAAAAAACAGGTACATAAATTAAACGCTTTCGAACAAATATTAGAACCTAAAATCCTGTACACTCAATAGAAATGTATCAGATGTACAAGCCCCTTAAATACTGAAAGGCGAAGGTTATAAGATCCCTGATTTATAAACTCACCAATATTATGGACCTGTAACAGCCACATTCCCTTTCACGAAGCATAGATATTCTTTCTAAAATAAAAGCACAATATAAATAGAAAGAAAAGAAAAAATAAGCAATATTATTAAAAAGCCTGCGCAGGCTGGCACTCTGACAAAAACCAAAGGATCCTTGTATGACCAATAAAATAAATAACAAGTTTGTAATAAATTTGGTTCCCAGTTGACCAACATTAAGTGAAAGACATAAACAAAAATGTGCACCATATTATGCCCTAAGACAAGGTTGAAAAATAACACCTAAGGTTGACACGTCAGAATGCAAGGCGCCAGTAGTTTCACATCTTGAAACTCACCCACTGTGAAAGTGCAGTCATCATGGAGGAGACAGATAAGAACACTTTCACACAAAAAAAAATAAATAAGCAAATAATAAAATATATATAAATGTTTTCCAATTATCAATCTAATTAACTTATACTAATGTTGTCCAAGGCATTCACCAGACATTTGGATAACATCATGAACTAAACATCTTGCTTTTGGAAGCCCAAAAATGACCTCTCTTTTTTTCTCTAAAAAGCCTGCACTTCGAACTTCTCTCAGCTGACAAAAAGCTTCAGAAATGCAATCGTTTTTTTAATACTGCAAGAAAAATATTTGAAATTGCCACATAAATTAACCAAACTGAGCCCAATCTGTAGATATCAATTCTTAAATTCTTTATTCCAAGTTTACCTATTGAGCAATGTCAAAAATGTGAAAAATACTTTTTCATTTCTTGTTATCATCTGAAAAGAACTTCAAATACTTCTAAAGGTTCCAAATTCCAATCACAAAACAAATAATCCAAAATACAGAGAAAAGAGTAAAATGAAACTTGTCAATTAGAAAGTCCAAAAGCAGTAAAAAACAAATTTAGAAAGTAAAAAGAAAACGAAGTTAATATGCAAAAGTTTAAATATTTCTAGTACAAAAAGATGATACTTAACCAACGGATTAACCTATCAAATCAAGAAAATCGATGTGACAAGTTAGACTAATTGATTTTGACTACCATAGTGCAAGTTAAATAACCTTGTACCCCGTGCGGCCACCTGTGGCACCATAATCAGGATCAAAGTCTGCATCATCAGGATCATCTTCTGCAGAAAATAAGAAACAAATAGTCAATCGCTATGATTAAGAAGAAGCCTGTATGACCATTTGAAAGAAAACGAACTTTGGTCATAAAAGTGGTACTCCATGATTTTAAGAATCTGACAGGAAGGATGATAACGTCACAATTACCATCTTCATCATCATCATCTTCATAATCACCATCATCAACATCATACTTTTTGCCATTTGAAGCTTTTGAATTCCTAGAAACATTGTTGTTTGCAGCCACAGGCCTCAATTGTGGCTTGGAATTAAAACCACTCGAATGGTGTAGCATTCTGTAATGCAACGAGTCACTCTGATCATCTCCATCCTGCTCATAGTAATCATCGGACAGCATCTCATCCGCAGGGACATCAACATGGCCCCTTCGAACTTTGTCCACATTTTTCTGGCCATCATAATCTTCAGACTCTAACCTATCTTCCCTGTTATCTGATGAATCATCCTCAGATCCTACCTCATTTTTATTATATTCAGATCCACTCTTCGACTCCTGCCCAGATTCCGATCCAGCTCGAGGATGCATGGGTTGACAGTCCTTCCAAAAAGTCGAACCCCATTTTCCAGCAAGAGTTTTCCTTCCAAAAGGCTGCAAATTCGCCATCATACCATTATCTGTGGCAGCCTCATCTTGCAACCTAACAGCATCATCTGGTTCGCCATCACTTTGATACTGCGCTTCTGTCCTTCTTTCAAGATCTTTATTGCTCGAAGTCGCATCTACATAATCATTTTCTACCATGCTGTGAACTCTATCTGTACTTTGCTCCTGGCCCTTCTCATCCAAGACAGACTGTGAAACTGTTTCACTCGAGCAGTTCCTAAAAAATGCCATCTTCTCTTAACATGGAATTTCAGTGATTTTTACTTACACTTCTTTACTACATATGGCAACTGATTCAGATGGAAAGCATTAACTATCACTGAAGCAACAGGCAATTAATTTCTCTGTTATCTTCTGATTCTCTACAAGATTTGAGCAACAAAAAAATGAATAAATAATTCCAAGTTGATCGGTGAAATCCTCAATAATCATACTGTAAGCTAAAGATTGCAGTATAATTGAACACTGTTACAACTTCAATTATAAGGAAAAACTACTTCCAAACCAACTTGAATCAAATAAAAACAAATTAACATTAAATTATAACCATTCCATGATGTAAATAAGCATTGCACGACACAGAGCGAGACTTGGTTTTCAAAAACAGCAAATTCATCCTGATACTGAAATTCGCAATACAAACCTATCGTTGAAGGAGAAGACATGATAAAAAATGAGAAACTACAACAGTTCAAAAATGAGATGAAAGGCATATTTAACAGAAACAGAACAAAGCTCAAACAGACTCTGCTTTCCAAAGTCGAATTCAAATTCAAAAACAACGTCATCATAGAATCAACAACAACAATCAAGAGTATCGAAAAACTAGAAAATGACAGAAACATATGAATTCAATGGTGAAAACAATGGATCCGTAAATAGAAGTACAAAATCTAACGAAATGGAATGCAAGAACTTCCAAATACTCCAATTCGGAAACCCTAGGACGCGAAAAACCCTAAATCTACAATCAAAACCACTAAATTGGCCTTGCATCAAAATAAAATGAAGCAATCGATTAATGGAGAAGCTGATGATTCATTTGAGAGACTCACCACCGTAGAGAGAGAAAAATTGCTTTGCGAATTCGGTCAAAGTAGAGAGAGAAACAGGGAGAAGGTGCACAGTAAATATCGTGCACACGTCAGACGGTGGCGACGCCGAAAACTGACGCGCCGGCGGCGATAAAATCGTTAAAATATAATCGGTTTCGGGGATTTATACAAGATATTGGGAGTGATAAGTATGGTCGGCGGCTAATCCGCGCCGGCTGGTGAGGATAACGACCGATTTCGGATACAGAGGTCGAGATAACTGGATTTACCGGTCGATGATGTCCAGGGAAGAGAGAGAAAATTATAGAGAGAGAAAATGAGGTTTTTTCTAGAGAGAGAAAGAGAGGTAGTAATCAGGGAAAAATAGGATTTGCAAGGTTATTTTTTGTTTGGAGAGACGTGTTTATAGATACATTCTCTCTCCACTTTGTCTTTCGAATTTTAGCTATACCTTCTCTGTATTCCTTTTACTTGCTGTTTGGCTGTTTAATACCCCCGGTGGGATTTGCCCATGTAGCGATTAATTGGTGAAACTGAAAGTAATTTAAGATTTTGGTGTAGTCATAATCTCCGATGCCTAATCCACTCGAATGATAAAAAAATTAAATTTTAAATTTTATAAAGAATGGAGTGAAAGAAAGTAAAGGAAATTAATATATATATTTTTAGTCCTAATATAAATAAATAAAAACTTCAATTTAATCGAAATAAAGTAACTAAAACTAAATTAGTTTGGTACATCTCATGTATGTAGATTTAAAACTAAATAAGTTTGGTACATCTAGTATACTTTCAGTAGTTGAGTCCAAAAGTTACGAAAAATATGTATACAAAAGTCACGAGAAATATGTATAAAAAAATTACAAGTATAAATTAAATTATAATTTCAAAATTTGTATATGCATATATACTAACTTAGTTTTTCACCCAATACTCTGTTACTAAATTCTCATATTGGGTGAAAAACCAAGTTAGTGTCTATGCATATACAAATTTTGAAATTATAATTTAATTTATACATGTAATTTTATTTTTATATATATAAATATATATATATATATATATATATATTATTCTAAAAATGTAAGGAATTCTCTAACATTTTTTAATTTCAAATTTTAATGTGTAAAGCACTTCCTCTGTTTCTTAATATTTTTTATTATTTTTCATAAAAAGTCTCATTAAATTATGCAATTATTCGTACCATAATGAAACTTTTTTTTTTTTTTTTTTTTTTGGGGGGGTGTTGCAATTCTTTCACTTCTAACACGGAGATGTTCAGGTTATCTACTTTCTCTCTCTTATCTCTCCACCCTTTTTGTCTTCGACTTCGTCTTCCCCATTAGTTTTTTTCTCTCTGCTCCCATCCGTAGGAGTGGGGAGGTACAGTTTCTTGCCTCCCACGAGTTAAATAAACTAGGCATGTAACAATAAGTTCGCTCTGTTGGTGGTTTTCACGCCGTTTTTGCTTTTGTTTTACTAGATCTGTTCCTGTTTGGCTTGTTTTCGGCTAGACTGAATGGATCTCTGTTTTCTCTACTTTTTCTCTCCACCCTTTTTGTCTTCAACTTTGTCTTCCCCATCCGTTTTTTCTCCCTGCTCCCTTATGTGGAAGTGGGGAGGTGCAGTTTCTTGCCTCCCACAGGCTAAATAAACTCGGCGTGTAACAATAAGTTCGCTCTGTGGGTGGTTTTTGCGTTGTTTTTGCTTTTGTTTTGCTAGATCTGTTCATGTTTGGCTTGTTTCCGGCTAGATTGGGTGGATCTGATGTTTTATCTCCGGCTAGATCTCTGATCTATGTCGGTTTTTGTTATCCCCGACTTGATTTTATCTTGTGTGGAGTTTTGGTGGTTTTTCCCCTGTTGGAGGCGCCTTGTGGATGTAGTTTTTGAGTTATTGCTTTGATGATGGTCTGACCTTTGGGTCACTCCAGTTGCTACTATTCTCCCTTGGTGGTTTCTGTTGTTGAGTTGTGGTTCTTTCTCAACAAATCTAGAGCCTATTCATCATTTTTATTGTTTTGCTTAATGATTTATATGTCTTTATCTGACTTGGCTTTTTACTTCTGTACTGCCATTTATGGCTTGGTCCCTGAGCCTTTGAAATGTGTGTGTGCGTGTGTGTGTATATATATATATATATATTCAGGTTCTCATTAAATTATGTAATAATTTATACCATAATCAAACTTTTTTTTTTTTCTTTCTTTCTTGAAATGTATCTTTTGGGTTACATATATTTATACGTAAAATAATATATTTTTTATTCTAAAAGTGTAAAGAATTTTTTGAATTACTAAACATTTTTCATATTTTTCTATATATTGTTCTAAAAATGTAAGGAATTTCTTAACAAATTTGAATTTTATTATTTTAATGCGTAAAACATTTTCTCTTTTTCTTAATATTTTTCATTTTTTTCCATAAAAACATGAGTTTTTTTTTTTTTTTTTTAAATGCATTTTTAGATTCAATTCCTACCGAGAGATATGATCGCTTTAGTGGAACAGTGTCGGGATGTTGTTTGAATCGGGATAGGGTTTTTGTGGGATTTCACTTTCAATGACCTTAAGATTTCGTATGAGTTTACCAAAGGATTTTATTGGACTTATTTGATCTCATTTGACTTGTTGGGGTCAAATTTCCTTCTCTTTGGATAAAATGACCATTTTACCCCTAGTTTCATTTTTCTCCGTTTTAACCTTAGCTTTCGCTTTCGTTTTCGTTTCCTTTTTAAGTTCCGTGATTTCTTAAAAGCTCATTTTGTCGTCTTAGAGGTGGTGTCCATCTCTAGAGATCTCTTCTGTTTTCATTACTTCCGCGTTTTAGACTCATTATCAGGTCAGTTTTCGGGTGACTTGAAATTCGGGGCGTCACAAATGTATATAATTTACATGACCTAATATTTATATACTATTCTGAAAGTGTAAGAAATTTTTTTAACAATTAAAATTTTTTGTTTTACATTAAAAAAAAAAAAATTTCATGAAAACATAATAATTCATACCTCATTATATATATATATATATATATATATCATAATTGGTGTTTGTATAAAAAAGGAAAAAATATTTACAGGTAAAGGGCATACCCTCAGAAACAGAAAGGAAATGATCTACATAATAAAAAAAGTAAGGATCAAATCCCAATCAAAAAGAAAAACAAAAACTGCTAAGGTCTTGAATAAGGATTAATAATATAGATAAGGATATATAAATGCATATAATTTACATGACCTAATATTTTATGAAAAAAATTTGAGGGAAACCAAAAGAATATTTTATTTTTATTTTTTGAAAAAAAAAAAACTAAACTAAACTAAATCATAACCAAAAATTCTATAACTCTACATTTTTTCTCTATATACACACACACACACACTATTATTAAAAGTGTAAGATATTTCTTAATGTTTTTTATTTTCAATGTAAGAAATTTCTTAACATTTTAAAACTTTTGTTTTACATAAAAAAATTTTCATTAAAACATACTAATTCATACCTCATTAATAATATTAATAATATAGATAAGGATATATAAATGTATATAATTTACATGACCTAATATTTATATATTATTCTAAAAGTGTAAGAAATTTCTTTAACATTTAATTTTTTTTGTTTTACATTAAAAAAAAAATCATTAAAACATAATAATTCATACCTCATTAATAATAGTAATAAAATTGATAAGGATATATAATTTTATATAATTTACATGACCTAATATTTTGTGAAAAAAATTTGAGGGAGACCAAAAGAATATTTTATTTTAATTTTTGAAAAAAAAAAAAAAAAAACTAAACTAAACTAAACTAAATCATAACCAAAAATTCTATAACTCTACATTTTTTCTATATATCGATATCTATATATCTATTTATCTATCTATATAAATATATATATACTATTATAAAAGTGTAAGATATTTCTTAATGTTTTTTATTTTCATAAAAATATATACTATTATAAAGTGTAACCTATTTCTTAACATTTTATATATTTTTTTAAACAAAAAATTCTATAGCTCTATATTTTTTTCCTTTTATATATCTATATATCTGTATATATATATATATATATACTATTCTAAAAATGTAAGAAATTTCTTAGCAGTTTTTTAATTTTAAAATTTAATCTGTAAAGCACTTTCTCTATTTCTTAATATTTTTCATTTTTTATCCATAAAAACATCTCATTTAATTATGTAATTATTCATACCACAATGATACTTTTTTTTTTTGGGTGTTGCAATTCTTGAACTTCTAACATAAGGGTATGAAGATATTCAGGTTCTTATTAAATCATGTAATAATTCATGCCATAATGAGACATTTTTTTTGGTTGAAATGTATCGTTTTGGTTACATATATTTATACCTAAAATAATAATTTTTTTTTTTTAAATGTAAAGAATTTTTTGAATTTCTAAACATTTTTCATATTTTTAAAAATAAAATAATTTTGTTAAATGTATCTTTTTGGTTATATATCTATACCTAAAATAATATATTTTTTCTTAACACTAATCTAAAAGTGTAAGGAATTTCTTAATATTGGTGTTTGCAGAATTTTTTGAATTTCTAAATATTTTTCATATTTTTTAAAATTAAAAAAAAAGGTTTTTGATAGGGCTGCAACTTGGGCTGGCCCAACCCAGCCCAGTCCCAACCCAACCTCAACCCGAATCGGGTTGGGTTGGGCCAACCCGAATTGCACTCAACATGGGTTATGGTCATAACCCAGGTCGAATATTTTCAGGCGGGTTGGGTCAGGTTGACGGGTTGAGTTTTTTTTTTATTATTTTTTTTTGGAAATTTATATATATATATATAATATATTATTTTATATGTATTATATATATTTGATTATATTATTATAAAATACAAAATATTTTTAGGGCAAATCATTTCAGCCTCAACTATCGCCTCATCTCTATTCTCTCCCCCCTCTCTCTCTCTCCAACTGCAAACTACAAAATCTACAAGAATCAGAAGTTAAAATCCCATATATTTCAGTTTTATCAATCTGTTTGCAAGAATCAAAAGTTCAAAACCCATATCGGCATATCATTTCAAATTATTCAAAAAATCAAAAACCCAGATCGGCATATCATTTTAGATTGTTCAAAAAATCAAAACCAGATCTTTCAGTTTCCATCCCCCGCTATTCCAGTTCGGGTTCATCGTTCACAAGCTTCAACCACTGTCTCTTAACTCTCAAGCTTGCCCCCCTCTCTCTGTGCAACTGCTAACGTGTATGTATGGGTTTTGTTTCAGTTTTACCTATCTCTCTGTGCAACTCTCAAGCTTCAGCCACTGTCTCTCAACTCTCAGACCCATATATTTCAGTTTTATCTAACTTGTATGTATAAGCAGCAGCGGCGGCGGAGGCGGAGCAAAGGGGACAGCGTAGAGAGAGAGAAAAAG